AAGGGTCTAAAGTGACGATAACGAAAGCAATTTCAGTAGCTTGAAGAGAACGGTCGCCACAGGCTTGAGAAGATGGTGTCTGTGAGGTGGGCGCAAATCAAAGCGATGCTCAATTGAAGCCGGTGAATGAAACAAGACAGAAATTGCACGCTTTCTAAGTTGCCAGAACAGAAATAACACATAGCATCTATGACTGACACCACTTAGTACTTTACTTGGATGCAGATGCGTGAATGCTGAGCCTATGACGTTGGTTGAAGGTTATGGTCGAGGTTTTTGGTAGCAGGAAGGATATGGAAATATCGGAGTCATGGTCCAACGTTAGCTAAGCCCTTAGTCCCGTTTGTTGTATTATTGGAAGCGATGCCTGAAAGAAACAACATCTGTCAGCGACACGAAGCAAGCGTCTAACACACTCTAGTAAAATGGCGGCAAAATCAACAGCTACTAGCGTAAACCTTTTGGAAAACATTTCAGGCTTATTAGCTGGTTTAAGACAATGTTTAGTCGATTGTTTACCTGCAACGGTTAGAAGTTAGTTGCATATATAGAAGGCGCACATGTGTGGGGGGAGGGTTAGTAACACGTCTACGGGACATTCATACACATGTCGACTCCCGATGCTCTTTTATATATATATATATATATATATATATATATATATATATATATATATCAGCCAGTGGGCAATCATAATATCATTCCAATTAGCCACCACCACATCAAGTCACCTTCACGACACGCACACAACACAACACCGAACCTCCCGAGAACTGCGTATTGAATCGGAGATTGCAAAGATTAGCAGTGGGCATTAAAAGCTCTGAGTTTGCCAGCAAAGAGGGTAAGCTAGTGAGGCAAGCTATGGCCAACACCCAGGAGGCACGCAACACGAGCAGTCGGATAGAGAGGGAGAGAGAGAGAGAGAGAGAGGGAGAGAGAACCCGGTCAAGCCCACACACCGCTCACCAGTGGCCCATACCGATACCCAGGGGCGCAGCCACCTCCAACCCGACCGGTTGTACTTGTAAAGAGTGAAAATATTGTTTTTGCCGTTTAATGATTTTATCCGGATTGGACCACACACGTGCAACGTGATCAACAGCGCACTCACCGGAGGCTTTTATGGAGCTTTGTATGCGGCAAAGGCTCCCGGACCCCACCACCCGCGAGGCCCGGGATCTGGCTGCACCCCTGCGGCGGGCCCGGGCCGGCACACTAACCGCCTCGGCTAGTTCGCGCACCCCGTCCCAGATGTCACTGGCCGTCCGTGGTCGATGGAAGTGGGGCGGAGGGCGGGTCGCCGGTCCGCACCGGGTCGTGACGACCCGGGGTCGGGCGGGGCCCGCACTGACGTGTGTGTGTGGGTGAGTGGGTGTGTGAGCACGGGGCAAGCATCGCCGCCGTAGGGAGTTGGAGGCCGGATGGGAGCGCTTCCGACCTATCGCATACCCACTCGTTGGACCGTTTATTGAACAAGCGCTGTTTGCGTATGCACATAAACTACAGCGTTCAGTGTTGACTTCGGTGTGAATTGTATTAAAAGGCACCAACAGGGATCCGAGGACGATGGCAGAGACGCCTAGTAATGCTCGGCTCGCGCCGAGCCACCACATCACTGTTAACGTTCGCCACCGGCCTCAACCAGCGACCCGGCTGATTCTAAGCCATGCCCCACTCCGGGTGTCCTGTTTAAAGTGCTAGGGTGAACGTCTCGCGCCGACTCTGCCCCATCAGCAGCGGCACCGTGAGCTCGACGTCAGACGCCAGCGCCGAGCCGTTGCTGGACGGAGAGGGGAGTGCGGGGGCTGAGGGGGTCTGCGGGGAGGGGTTGGGCATCGTCGGCACGCACGAGACCAGCACCGAGCCTCCGGAGCCGAGGGCGCGCCATGCTGAAACGAAACCGAACAAAACAAACAGTAAAGCAACGGGAAAATGACACATCGAAACGTCAAAACATCCGATACAAAAATGGCTGCGGCGGAAATGAGAGGGTGATTCGACAAACCAAAGTTGCTTTGACAGGTGCAGGGATGGCTGGGCGCTAGACGACACACGAGCAGCCATTCTGGCAGAGATAAAACATAAACACATAACGTGATATGACACAGAAAATTCCAGCATACACGAAGCAAAATTATATAGTTCTAAGGCGATTGACAAGGACGATGGGTATGCAAATGCATCAGGATCATACCTTGGGCGCCAATATACCCGTCTGAAGTTTCTTGTTTGGCGGTGTGTTTCACATATGAGCATGCATGCATCGAAACAAGCAATACATTTACAATTCTGATAGCTGTAACTATTTTGACTGTGATCAGCTTATTTTGACACACATCACAACAACCTCGCAAAATGGAATTTGCAAAGTGCACATGTTGCATTTTCTAAAAAGCTTCACATCAGTGAAGCCAAACCACCATTCACCGTTTTATGAATAAATATCAACGGAAGTCCAGTTGCCACGTTTGATTTGATTCAACAGGACGTCACAAAATGACGCGGCGCATGTACCAGGGCAGCATAGGCAACACGCTTCCGTGTACGCCACAACCGCACGTACGCGCGCGGTGTGCAGCTATCTTTTCTGATCAGCATGAAGTGATGTTTTGGGGTGTCTTTAGTGGTGGGCGAACCTTTACCCGGCTCTTTGTTCTCTGTTGCAATTGGCATTTATAATTTTGAAGCTGGTAACCGTATCCCCTCGGGGTTGAGAACAGCAATCTGAACAGATGAAACTTTCTTGGCACCTGGTTAACTAATGCCCGACAAAGACAGCAGCAAGAGTGTGAACAAGGCGACCGTAAACATTGCACCCCAGCAGAACCTCAAGTTTTAGTTTCTCTAAACTCGGCAGCTAAATTTCAAGTTTTAATTTCTCTAAGCTCAACAGCAGAGCCTCAGGTTTTAAGTTCTCTAAACTCGGCAACAGAAACTCAGGTTTTAGTTTCTCTAAACTGGGCAGCAGAACCTCAGGTTTTAGTTTCTCTAAACTCGGCAGCAGAGCCTCAGGTTTTAATTTCTCCAAACTCGGCAACAGAACCTCAGGTTTTAATTTCTCCAAACTCGGCAGCGGAACCCCAGGTTTTAATTTCTTCAATCTCGGCACCTCTTCTAAGATTCCCGTCCGACCGTCTGCACTCGGCGACCGTTCGCTTGACAGGCGCGCCGTTAATGTCGCCCGGGCCTCGGATTTCGTCTGAGAAGAGGTGCACCCAACCCACGGACGGCGGCCCTCGCGCGCCCAGCACGGTGTGTGACGTGGGCGGCTGCGGCCGATCAGCCGTTCTCTGGCGGCGGCGCGACCCATAAACTACCAGCCCATAATACGGCGATGAACATTCTCGAATCCCTGCAAATAATTCGCCCATTTCAGCGGCCAGCGCCGAGGCAAGCCGGACACGCCGCGACGAAAAATGGGGCGCGCCTGCCTGGATCCAAGGCGGCGCGGCCAGATCGGCCATCCCGCCGGGCTGGCGCCACGCCAGCCGGCCGCCGAGGCCGGCCTCCCCTCGGCCTCTGCCTCCGGGCGTCCCCTCTGCACAGACCCATGGCCGTGACAGGCGGCACCGCGCCGCGCATAATGCGCCGCCGGCGCCGCTGCCCGGTGAGGCGTGCGGGCCGCGCCGGGGACGTCTCTTCGCCGGCAGGGTCGCCGGTTGGTGCAGCCAGGGACAACTTTTAATTGGGCGCTGCCGCCGCCCGTCCGCGTCCGCCGGAGGTCCATCGGCGGCGGCGGCGCCCGAGGGAGGGTGGAGGCAGTGACGTCACCGCTAATGGTGCCCGGGCCGTCCGCTGGCAGCCGGATTGTTCGATGGCGCTGCCGCCGGCTTCCAGCATGCAGAAAGCGGGCGGCACGACCTCGGGTCACGCCACAGCGGCCGGCCACCAGCCTGGCCATCCAACCGCTCCGCCCGTGGCGCCGGCTGCCGCAGGCAGACGCGCCGGCGCTGCGATACGGCCACCGCTCTCTTGGAGAACGGAAAGGAGGACGATGTAGCAGGCGTTGCGTGGTTCTGTGCACCTGCTGGATGCGCAATCGCCTCCTCTTCTCTAAGATTCTAGCACGCAGCTAATCATGATGCAGGCACATTCACCGCCGGTGGAATTAGATTTTTCAAAACCGATTCCAAATGCTCTCGCCGCCACGTTTGCGAGCTCAACTAAGAATGCATCTACCTCCTAATTGCGCACCGCATCAACGCACAGTTCCTTAATTATTTGTCAGGGTCAAGTGCGGCCGCGCCCCGCTTTTTCCTCTCGTGGCGTGCGGTGCTTGCTAAAATAAATGTCTGGTGCTTGCTTACAACTGATGAGCCTCCAGATAGGTTTAATGGTTAGTATGCGTGAATAAATCCCACCTCGCCACGCGACAACCGTAGCTTCTCTTTTGGGCGACAAGAACGCAAAATATACAGTGGAAGCATTCAGCCGGCCGCGAAAAAGGCGCCTGGGTGAGTACTTGTAACCTGATTGGCCTCCCAAACGAGGCTCTAATGGTTTCCTCAGCTCCATTTGCCAGCTAATGGAGCCAAGGTATCGTTCAGTGTCGGGAACGAGCCGCCGGCAGGCGCCCACAGCGACGTTCGCGCATCGACGCAGCCCCTCCCCGTCCCCTCCCCCTCCCCCGGGCGGGCGGGCCCCGGAACATCGAGAAACGGCAGACAGGGTGCGCAACGCTACTGGGAGGGTGCTCCACATCCTACGGTCTACACAGTGGGTCAAGACCGGCAGGCACCGTGCGAACACACGAGAGTCCGAGCTACCTGGCTGAGGTGTTAGCCTAGAAAGGACACAGAGCGTTAATACGCACGAGGGGACACTGGCCGCTGGGAGTGGGTGGGACGGCGGGTCGGGCGCATCGGACATCGATCGCCGGCACCCCGGCGGTGGCATCCTATGGTCTGCCTGGCCCGGCGTCGCTGCGGCCGGGCTGGAGAAGGCCCGCGGACGCTTCCTCCACTCTGCAAACCGGTGCCGGCGGCGGCGCGCCGCCTCGGCACGGCTCGGTTTACGCTCGGTTTACACGGTTAACGTTCAGCAGGCGCGGCGAGCGCGGCGGCAGGCTGCACGGCCTATCATCTAGAAAAAGAGCGCGGCTCATTCCAGGCATATGCGCGGCGCGCTGGCGCAGGCGGCCGAGCGGTCGCGCCCACGATACTCACGTATGGACGTGCGGCGGCGCCGCCAAGCCTCACTCAGCGATCAGCGCACGAGGCCCGCCGCCGCCGCAGGCGCGTGCGGACGACACTCACCCATGCTCTCCTTGGGATTTTTCTGCGCTCCCATGCGGTTGGCGCCGCCGTTGCCGCCGGGTCCGTTGCCGCCCGGCTTTCGCGCCACGGGCCGCACCTGCTCGACAGCTATCACCCGGCGGCGCTTCTTGGGCAGCTTGGCGCGCGCCTGCGTGTGCGAATAGTACATGGCGAAGTTGGAGACGATGACCGGCACTGGCAGAGCGATCGTCAGTACACCGGCCAAGGCACAAAGGGTGCCGACGAACATGCCCACATAGGTCTTCGGCACCATGTCGCCGTAACCAACTGTGGTCATCGTAACGAGCGCCCACCAGAGTCCGAGTGGGATCGAATTGAAGTTATTGTGCGGGTTCACTTGTATCCGCTCGGCGTAGTAGACGAGCGAGGCGAAGATGACGATGCCGAGCACCAGGAAGAACACCAGAAGGGTGAGCTCCTTGGCCGACGCTCGAAATGTCTGCATCAGAATCTTCAGTCCACTCGAGTGCCGCGTCAACTTGAACAGTCTCATGATACGAATAATGCTAAAGAACTCTAGAATATCGGCGTTCTCCACATGGGCCGCAAACTCCTGCAGGATCAGGTCGATGTAGAAGCTGAGCGTGGCGATGTAGTCGATGATGTTGACCGAGGACGTGATGAACGCCTTCTTGTTCGGCGACGCTACGAAGCGCACCAGGATCTCGAACGTGAACCAGGCGTTGCAGACGCACTCGATGTAGAAGAAGGCGTCGTGCGGACTGGTTTGGTACTTGTCCAGCGTCCAGGCGGTGCCGTTGAACGCTGTTTGCACCGTGATGTTTTTTATGTAGGGCACACGCATATCGGGGTGCGTCTTCAGGCAGAAGGACACGATCGAGATGCAGATGAAGAACACACTGACGATGCCCACGATCTGGAACAGAAGCCGGAGTTAACCCGAATCTGACCACAATGGTCGCGCAGATCGCGGTGACGACAAGATGGCCGGAGACAGGCGTTAGTAGATTTACTTAATTCTTAATTCTGAAGCTAAATGCACGTCACAGGGCGCCTTGACTCGGACCTGGGAGGTCACACACTGTGTAAGGAGTGGCGTTCGGGGGCTTTGCTCGGACCTGGGAGACCACACACTGTGTAAGGAGTGGCGTTGGGCGGCTTGGCTCGGACCTGGGAGGTCACACTGTGTAGGGAGTGGCGTTGAGCGGCTTCGCTCGGACCTGGGAGGTCACACACTGTGTAAGGAGTGGCGTTGTTGTATGGCACGTGAGATGTGCCGAGAACTAAAAACAGTTAATGTGGATAAATGAACACCTTTCTTCGAGTTGCAAGACTGTTAATAGCACATTTTCAGACGCAGATGTGGAAGGCACGACATCTGCAAACAGAAGCATTGCGGTCTTGTATGTGGAAAGATAAAACGTCATCTTAAGCTGTGCCAAAAAAAAAAAACGCTTTCTACCCCAGCGCCTGCAAAAGTCTATGTAGTTACTAATCTCAGCATCTTCTCCAAGATGCAAATGTAACGCACTACGAGTTCTACATCTGGCATTCGGTATGCTACTAAATTAATGAAGTGAACCGTAGAGCTAATAACGTCACAGTTCCCACTAATATCATATCACGAAGCGTGTTTTGAAAGCTTATGCTGGGTTAGAGAAATATGCATTGTCATGGGACATGACCAGCACGGCCTTTTATGTTTATTTGAGCCTTGCCCAATATCCAGGCTGCGTCTTCTCCTCAGAGAAAGCCACCGAGTTCCTGAACTCTATGAAATGTGAGTTGAAACCATAAAAAAGGCAAGCCTCCAAAGCAAAAACAGAGTGCGGTTGCAGATATCTGCTCGAAGTCATTTGGGAAACACTATCCATACAACGGCAAATTTCTTTATCAGCATAGATCAGGCCACGGAAGATTTCAGTAAAAGATATCGCAAGAAAACTGCGAACTGGAAGACTAAACCTTTACTTAACGTATTGCAGTCGTTGGCTAGCTGGGCACTTAAATGTTTGGGTAGGCCAGTACCAATGCAGTACATAATTTTGGTGCATCACATATTCCTACCAAAGTTAGAAGCAGGAACGACAATGTGGTTTACTTTACACAGTACACCCCTTGCCCACCATATCATCTGCGTTACTGAAATTGGAAGGCAAACATTTCGTAAGCTCCACCTGCAACATTCCCAGGCTACAAGATCGTTACTAGGTCTAGACGACGAGGTAAACCCCAACCACCCAGGAATTCAAGAACAAAAAGGCCTTGGTATTACTTTTATTTTAAAATAGCTTGACTGAAAAAACTAGAGCAAAGTTCTTCGTCATTTTAAGAAATGTAAAGGAAGCTAACCAGCATGTTCTAAAGGATTACCATCAAACCAAGACCTTCGAACCCTGAAGTACGCACACGAAATGATGACTGTGATATGTACCCATTACACGTTTGACGTTTCCAACTGATTGGTTTGATGGTAGCCGTTTTTACGAAGGTACCCGGCTTGAAATGCTTTGCAACGTTAAAAACAAAACTGTTGCTTAGCTATATATATATATATATATATATATATATATATATATATATATATATATATATATAGAAAAAGAGACAGACAGGGAAAGAGAGAGAGTTTCAGAAAGCTTCTTCTTCCTATTTCTAGGAATATTCGTCTTTTCGCGTACTCCCCTCTCCTCTCCCTCCCTCTTTTCCTCTTTCGCGTCTTCTGTTCTCGCCGGATTTCAACTGGATGCTATGGTTGGCCAGCATTGTTCCCATTTTATTCCTCGTCCCGCTGATTATGGTGGGCGCCCCGGCCTCAGGTTGTTTACCGGACCTGGTCGACGATGTTTATGGGTCGTTCGGTGTGGGTTTCTGTGCCAGCCAATGTCGGTGAGCCTCGAATCAAAACACAGTCGCTTCGTATGGGCGACTCTCTTCTCTTAGGACAACAACATCGAATTTTCATTTTTGTAGTTATTTGCTATCGTATAAGAATACCTAAAAACATGTTACATGTTAATAGAAGCCATTAAAAAATGGCGGTAGGGACAGAAGAGCCAGGTGAGCCAAAATTACAAACTTTTCACGAAAATTTCAGATTATCTCCATGGTGATAGACAAAGATAGCTTGCTTCAAAAAGGGTAGGCTGCATCTCTTTCAGGATACTTATGCGTCCCTGACTCGTAAGAAAGATGACGGTTCTATGAAATGTTTTGCCGCTTCACTACTCTAGATGCCAGAGCATTTCCCAGCTGCCATAGGATTGTCGCCTGAGCCAATGTGTCGAGCAATATTAAAACCTTAATGAAATCAACGTGTACTCATCCTTTCGCCTTTCCCACTTCCCTGCTATTTTGCAAAAGCAGTACCTTCCATTTTGTGTACGCACACCGTCGAGCCCGATGGGTACCACCGTGGAAGGTTTAAAAACGCATAGCATAGCACGAAAATGAAACCAATCGCTGCACAATTCAGATAGAGTGCAACCGTTTGTTACATGGTGTAAGGAGAAACGTCGGCGTTGAGAAACCGTAGAATTCCTGCACCACTTTTACTTTTATTTAATCGCGAAGCAAAGTCGTTATCGAATTGGCAATTGCAAATTATGATTCAGCGTTGCACAAGAGGAAGCATTGGCAGGACGTAGTGATTGGGACGTGCAAAATTGTCCGCATGTCAAAATGTGACCAGTCTTTATACAGTATGGATGTATAGAACTGTGAGACAAAGAATAAATAGCTGGACCATACCATAGTTTGTTATAGCTCATGCTCAAGTTTATGGATTTCAACGCTGTATTGTTATGGGAAACAAAGCACAAACGTCTTGATAATAAAGATTCATCCGTCACGCAAGCATAGATATCTATAGCGGGAGTTTGATGTGCCATAGGGACATTGCGGTGACCGCAAAAGAGATTACAGAGGCGTGATAAACTACTACTGTTGCTTCACATACATCAGAAGCTTTCCTTAAGAGGGAGCTCTTTTGGCTGAAGAGCACCAGCAATCTCCCAGGTCTTAAACCCGTCTCTGAACGGTCGGTAATGACCTCTCGCCGGTAAAACTCGCCGGTGCAGGCCATTCCAAATGGCCTGGCTCCCAATTAGAGGGGATTTCCACACCGGGGAAGACGCAATCACTCCGAGGCGGGCGTTGGCCAGCCAGACCGTCAGACTGAGCGACTCCTGCACGGCGCACGGCGGGACGGCGCCAGCACTTGAACTCGCCAAAGGACCTGTGACCGAGGCTCCGTGACGTGGCGACCGTAACTGGGTGGGTTCTGGCCGAACGAAATTTTAAGACGAATGTGTCATTGTTTATTTCGGAAGGAAGCGACACTGTTTTGGCCAGGCTCTGAATGGTCACTAGTTTCACAAAGCATGGGTTGTTGTGTTGGCTTTGTGTTGTTTTTGTTCTTTTACAAATGCCAAAGGCCATTGCCGTTTTATCTAGGCTCCTCTCCCGGACCAGTGAACTCTTATTGCGTAGGGCCCCGGTATGATGAGGATTGAGGACAGGCTTTGATCGCCGCCCAGCGAGCCGGCGGCCCGCACATCACTCGCCTTGGCCGCCTGCGACGAGTACGGCTCGTCGAAGAGCGACCATAGCTTCGGCTTGGTGTTCTGCCACCAGGAGACGGTGCCGTTGTAGTAGTCATCCTCAAAGCCGAACTTGCGCGCAACCTCCTCCTCGTTCGGCTTGTCCGTGTCCAGGTCGAGCCGGTCCAGCACAGCCAGCGTCTCTTGCGTGTCGCGGTGCTGTCGGCGGAGAGCGCGGGTCACGCCTGGTCTGTTGCCCCCCCCCCCCCGGGGGGGGGGGGGGGACGGGGCAGCGCGGGGACCGGCACGACCATGTTACGGTCCAACCGCGTCCACTGCCGCACTGAATGTGGACATTCGTACCCCAGTGCCCGCCTGGGCTCTTCGTTACGAATGGCTGAATATGCAAATGTGTGCGAGTGCACATCGACATGGGGATAGCAGCACGTCAGTGTAGGAAATATTGGCTGACATTTGTACTTAGAACTGTGCCGGTTTCAGGAAAGCACGGATCCTCACCGTCAACGGACGTAACAACATTAGTCAGAAAGTCTCTCTCCGGCCGCTCCAGCTATATTGCTGGCCCTTCCTGGAACCGCGCTCTTCGGACGATTGGACGCAGTCCCCCCCCCCCACATTCCCTCAAACCCAAACCCTGCTCCCATTCCACCCCCATCCCCATCGAGCCTCCCTGACCGCTTCGCGAGCCGGCGGTCGGTATATTTGAGATGAACGCGGTGACGTACTCCGTCATGATAGATCAATTATGGGCGTGTGACCTGGCTTCGAACGGCTCCTCCGTGCTGAAGCAACCACTCAGTGCCGCAGCAGCTCCGTTATCAGCACAGGGATGGTCGCGACGGGCGGCATGCTTAGGCCATCATTAACATGAGCGAATGAGATGTGAGAGTGCGCATGGCACTGAGAAGTGCCAACCGCTTTTTGTATACAAGCGGCGTTACGAAAGGCAGTGTGCCCGAATCAACGACCGACGAACTCCGGTATCAGCATTGGCGTTACGCCCCCTTTACGCCCAGTGTTGGGCTGAGCCTGATACTTTGATGTGGTGCACCATGATATCTGATACATGTGGTGTATCAGATGCACGCGGTGCTCTGATTGACGCTTCGATTAGCACTACGGTTGAGGCCCATGGCTAATACCATTGACGAATGCATTGCGGCCGACCAGTGCGTGGTAACATGGTTAGGCCTAAACATGGGTGTCGCCAGTGCCAACGAGGTATACTTATCGTTACGATTGGCGTAACAGGCTGAATAGATTGCACAAGCGTAATGTACGTGGCAATTGCTTGTACGGGTGATTTGAATTGGAAACGCAGTCGAAAGGTTGGGAACGAGCAACGGTAATGGCAGTATTTTTTTCATTTTCATTTCGTCCTCCTTTTCAGTTTCGTTACGGGTCTTCCTAACTTTGAAGCGATGCTAAAACGTCAGTTCGGCGTTGTTGCGTCACTTGGTGCGTGAGTTATTGGTATCTTGGTAGTAATGGCATAGTCAGTGGATAAGATTGCAGATAATCCGTACACTGAATATTCGCCAAGTGTTAGAATTATCGTATGACAGACATGGTGTCGTTGAATGTTTGGTGTTTCATGCGCCACTATAACCGTCTAGCAATAATCACAGCGATGTTTTGCGTAGGTTGTCTATTCCTTGGGTTTTTCCCACTCAGTTGCGTCCATAATAACGATGAAATCCTGGCGAGCCGCAAGTACGTGGTTTTTGGAGGTACATACCACATAATTCATTCGACTTGTCAATGATCATACAGAATGACGACGTCACTGCTGAACCGCACTGATGCCTCAGCTTCGAAGAACTAACTATGGCCCCATCTGGCCGTTAGAAATGACTGTACGACAAAATGGCAGAAATTGCATGACCAAGAACAGAGCATAACGACTGTGCTGGACAGTGGTGACATTGCAACATCAGATAAGTACTGGGAAGTAGCAGGCTAATTCACCTTACTGGGAAGCTAGCTCCAGATACATCACAATGTAAATAACCAGAGTCGGGCCTGAGGTCCCGCCCCCCCCCCCCCCCTCCCCCCCCCCCCTCCCCCCCCCCCCCCCCGCCACCCTCCACCAAAGGCGTGTTCCCCGTCGAATTACTATAATTCTAATGTGATGTTTGGTAACAGCTCTTTTAGGCTAGCCAGCGACATGCTTTTTAAGTAACATAAAACTTCACGTCAAACGTTAATTGATAAAGGATAATTTAGACCCACATCACGTTAGGAAGGTCGTGGGCACGTGATCGTTAGCAGCTGTTCGCTGTCCATCAAGCACGCTGAACTTCGAATGCTTTAGGTGCCCGTCATGAGCGCTGAAGTATTCAGTAATCCCCGAAAGAAATTAAAAAATAACTTCCGAATCACAGCGACCGCTTTCATTCCTACGTCCGTTACATATTGAAAATATATCATGCGTTTGTTACTGCGCCCAGAGATAGTTGGCGTTTTCTCATGCCTCATCGCTTTTTGTATCTGGAACGCCAATCTAGTGGGCTACTTTGTTGTGTGTCGGTTAGAGAGCCACTCCTCTGCTCTCAGCAGTCCCGCGAGAGCAGCCGAACATGCAGTTGGTGGAGTTCTCCGCGAGTTGTCAGTGTTTATGTCGCTTCCTCCCCAAATACAAAACCCGCAGACTCTCCATCAACGGTCTGTCTTTTTTCACGCCTCTGAGAGAGCCGCAGGCTGTGAGAACCGATTGTACACATTCCGCCTTTGCTACAGGAGTCCAGGCAGTGCCTGTGATGAAGAGGGGATATGACAGCGTAGTGTAGAGCGTGGTCCGTCCAAATATATTCACTTACATTTATATTTTAGAAAATCTCTACGACTAGGCAGCTTGCCGTGATTCCATTGACTTCCACGTGCATGGGTCTTTGTGGACGACCGCGGCGTGCCAGTAAATCAGACCTCTGACAATCCAAATGAGATAATGCTGTATAACGCTGTGAGCCTTCAGAGGCGCCAGCACGCAGAACTGCGTCGTGATGCATCCAATCGATCTGGGAGAGTTGGAATTGCCCGTCATCTAACAAGTGTTCCCGGATGTCGCCAACTGTGTTGGCATCGTCTGCTGACACCTCCACGTCGACGGCGAGGCGGCGCCGACGAGACACGCTGAGCGACGGAACGGATCAGCCGCGACGACGACGCGCTCGGTCAGGCGGCGACTGGGTCGGACGCCGCGAAGGCCGGGGCTCCTCGTCGCAACCGTATGACGGCTGACGCCAGCGGCTCGTTACAGCGCTTAAACATTGCGGGAATGAGAGCCTCACCGTGACGTCAATGCGGCCTAGTCACGGAGCAGAAACTGCGAATAACTCGTGCAGACACTAGGTGAAATGCCCATTGCCAACGACCGGTAGGTGATAACTGCAGACTTCTGAATACTGCAGTGGACTAAGTGTTCATCTTTAGGAAGTTCTGTACGCAGGTCCTATTTAAAGTTTGATCTCCAGTCTTTTGTCTAAGCTGGCGTTGATTTTGCCAGCTAGATGACAAGAAAGGTAATTCTGCTGTTGGAACCATCACGGCGCAAATCTTAAAACGTGAGCTAGTTCTTAACCAGTGCGTGTATTTCGCTGTTCACAATTTTTTTAAGCTCTCACATGTGCGGCTGTATGGGTTTTGCAGTTGTATATATATGATCCCTACCACGCATTACTTAACATGTCCAATTTAACACTAGGCCGCAATGACGTTATCTGACTTGTTTTATGTACTACAATTTGAGACCCTGTTTGAAAGCGTGCTTCTTACCTTGTATACCTTGCACCTTGTGTAACCTTGGGTAAAACAATTCAAGTTTTGAGAATTCTAGAGAGCTGAACACCCTGTTAGCAATGGCTTTCATGTAAGTGCTAATTTTGTGACAAACTTCAAGAAGGCGTGTCCGGTTAGGAATGCTTATTATTACTTCGTGTGATAGAAGATATGTGGACGCAAGGAGCCGAGCAATAAAGGACGTTACCGGTTTATTGAACTCCGCTCCAAAATATTACATCTTATGATCCGACTCCGATTTTTTGGGTACGTGACATGTATATGTGTTGGGCGTGATCAAGTCTTGCGGGTCCACATAAAACCATGACCAATGGCGTGTCATTATTGCAGCATGATGCAATTTCATGCACAACTAACGTTTTGAATCAAACGCAACTACGTCGTGTGAATTTATGTGACCACATCACCGGCTGCAGGAGCCCACAAACTTTTTCGTTATTCCAAATCCTCAAATTAAAAAACAACACAAAACATATTTATGTGTGAAGTGGATTGTTATTATTCGCATTTTACAACCGCTCGTCTGTATCCACATAAGAGGGCGTACGATACATTTCGGCCGCAGGTCCCTTCCCGCCTGCTTCCGGCTGGGAAGGGAGGGGGTGGGCGAACAGTCTCTTACCCGACTGCTGGCGGCGGCGGAAGGGGGGAGGGGGAAGCGGACAATCTCTTCCCCTATGCAGCTGGTCGGAGAACAGGAGATGACACACAGTCGCCTGCCCTACCGCTGGTGGCTGGGGAAGGGGAGGGATGGCAGACAGAGATAACAGTTTACATAGATAATTGAAAATACTGCCAGATTTGTACCAAAGTTAGCCAGCTGTAGAGTTTTTCAATGTTTGTGCATCCGCGGTGCTGGTAACGTGGCGCTCTTGAATCAGGCTGTGCAGCGTTTTGTTATCGCACTAAAGTACCTATAATAAAAACTTTACCTGTATCCTGGGAAATCCATGTCGATCTTACGTTCTCAACTACAGCGTAAGCAATACTACGGCCAGGGGTGGTTCCAGAAGGGGGCTACGGGCCATGCCCCACCCCCCTGGCCCCGAAGGGGCTCATTGGCTCCGAGGGGGCCATAGCCGGCCGAACAGGTGTAGGTTGTTAACACAAAACGCAACAAAACTGGATATCCCTGGGCTTCCAGGCGACCAGGAACGGCTGTAAGCGGAAGTGAATGGCTCATGAAAAGTAAAAAAGTGTTCAATAATTGGAAAACTTGTGAATTGAAAATCTTAAGTCTCATTACACCGTCTAGGGGCCCATACTGTTTCCGGGGTGCCTATATGCCCACTTGTAGGACCATTTCGATCGTTAAGGACTATTCTACGTTGCCTTTCATTTCTTTGCATTTTCTCGGGGACCCTGCGCTGTTATGAGGACCTCTCCTGCTAGCATGTCGG